CCCCCCGCCCCGACCGTAGCCCTTTCTCTCTCCCACCCCCACCGCCACGCCCCTGCTGAGTCTGAGGCAGTGGAGAACGTTTACTTTGGAACCTGGCAGAGCTGGATCCCAGGCTGGCTCTACTACTGTCGAGACCTACCGAGATGCGCGGTCTGGGCCAGATTTCTCACCACCACTAAGTCTCAGCGTCATCTGCAGGGTGGGAAGGGTTGCCTGCCCTCCGACTTGGAGGAGGGAACACCACAAGAGGAATGGCGTCCACTGAGCGGCCACTCCACCAGGCCTTGTGCTGTGAGCGCTAAATCCCGGCCTCCTCCCGTCCTTGGGAGGTGGGGCCTCCTCGCCTCAAGAACACACGGCAGCCGGGGCGAGGCGAGAGCCTTTATGATCCTCCAGACAGGAGCTCGGCGGCAACAAGCCATGTCCACCGCCAAGCCTCAGACGCCTCAAGCCCGCACTGGGGGTTGCACATGGTAGGGACCTGAGTCAGACACAGAGACCACCGGCAGGAACAGGGGTTGCGCGTGCGTTGTTAGTGCTTTGGGGTCTGGCCCGGGAGGCCAGCGTCCTTGACCACGTGGGATCTCAGGACCTTGTTCCCGCCAGCAGGGGTGCTGTGGGCGTCCCGTGTGTGATCCAGGGCAGGGTCACCCCAGCTAACACCCCTTCCCTCCCCACTTTCTGGGCTTTGGTCAAGACAGCTGGCTAGCAGGGACGGGCGCTCCCAGAATCCTACAGGGCCCTGGGTGTTCCCTTCAAAGTAGGGCTGGAAAAGGCCAGGCTCGCCTGGGGGCCCCGGACACAGAGAGAGAGGGGGCCTGGGCACTCTGGAGGAGGCCGCAGCCCCACCCGGGACCCCTCAGTCGCCTACCCCACCCACCCTCCAGGCCAGGGTGCAGGCCCTCTGCTCTCTCTTCCAGGAAGCCCTGCCCGACCTCCCGAGCGCCTCAGTCCCTGGCCTGGGCCTCTGCCCTGGAGAGCCTGCCCGGTCCCTGCCCCATCCCTGCTTTCCACCTGCTGGGCCTCCCTTCCCAGGACCCCGGCCCGTCTGCCTCCCCCACCTGGCTGGCAACCCCCGGAGCCTCCAGGGCCGAGCCCATCCCTGCGCTCAGAACTCTCCACCCTGCACTAAGCAGGTGAGGCCACTGCCAAGGCAAGACCTGGGGGTCCTCAGGCCTCCCCTGCCCGCGTCCCCACGGAGAGGCTCTGGGAAGGCAGGTCCAGACCTCGCTTTATTGGAGGGGAACCCCAGGCGGAAGAACCCCTGCACCCCTCCCACCCTTGCCTCCCGGCGGCGGGGAATCCAGCCACGGAAGGCTGACCCAACCCCGCTCTCGGGCCGTCTTGCCGGCGCCACTGGGAGGCCGGAGAAGAGACGCCCAAGACCCAGAGGCCCAGGCAGGGCACAGAGGCGCCTCTTCGGCCAGGCCGGGTCGGCCCCTCTCAACAGCCAGAAGTGCCCAGCCCCTGATGCGGCCCCTGGGCCTCGCCTGTCCTCTTTCACTCCTGGCCAACGGCCGGCCCCCTTGCACCTGGTCGGACCCTTGTCCTGCGTGGGCCTTCCCTGGGACACAGGCTCTGTGCTCGGCCACGCCCAGGGGGGCCTGGAGACCCTGGGCACCCGAGGGGCACGCGTGGAGGCGCTGCCAGCCCCCTTCCTCTTCCACTCCTGGCCCCCGACGGTCCAGTGCGGGACGCGCTGCACCTCCACACTCACTGGCGGCCGCCCCCACCACCCCATATGGTGAGCAGGCAGCAGGCACGGGGTGGCGGGTGGGGCCGAGGCGGGCAGGGCGGTCAGGGCGCCGCTGCAGGCAGCAGTAGCGAGTCCGCGTTCTGTGCTGAGACACCGGTGGACTCGGGCCCGATGAGCCCCAGGCCAGACAGATTCAGGATGGAGTCGGCAATGATGCGGGCCGTGCGCTTCTGGTACCCGCCCGAGGTCACCATGAGGATGGGCACGTGGAGGCCACGGACAACTCGGAAGACCAGCTCATCCCGCTTCACGATGCCCTGTGGGGGGAGGGGAGGGCAGCTCAGGCTGGCCCGAGCCCCCGCGGTGCCAGGAAGTTCTGCTGCAGGTCTAGCCGGCTCCAGACGGCTGGCTGCTTCAGCCCGTCTCCGGGCTGCCTGCCTTTCCGGCGGCTGCCCAGCCCCCGGCCCCAGGGCCGGAACGTACCCCCGGGCTGATGGACAGCCCCCCGAGGCGATCCCCCTCCAAGATGTCGGTGCCTGCGTTGTACACCACCACGTCGGGCAGGTGCTCCCGGAGAGCCTTGTGCATGTTCCTCTCCACCTTGCTCAGGTACTCGTCGTCCTCCGTGCCCCACTCCAGCTCCACCTTCCGCCGGATGGCCTCTGTGAGGGAGACGGGAGAGCCTGAACTGCAGGAAGGGGAAACCCAGGCTCCGGAGGGGAAAGGCTGGGGCCCCAGGCAAGCCTGGAAGCCGGCTGCTCCGGCACTGCTCGGCCCCGCCCTGCGTCCCAAGCGGAGCTGAAGGGCGCCGAGAGCGTGCGAGCGCTGGAGTGGGGACCCCCGCTGGAGGAGGCAGGCCTGGCAGCAGCGTCGGGTCTAACCACACGCCCCCCGACACGCGGATGCCGCGGTCCGCCCTCGAGCCCAGGCTCAGCGTGGGGGGAGGCTCAGAAACTGTCCCCAGGGCCGCTCCTGAGGCCGGCTTCTCCCAGCGCTCCAGACGCGCCAGCACCGGAGCAAACACATCCCCGCCTGCAGAGGCAGGCTCCCTGTCGGCGAACCTCACCGGGCAGGTCCGGGCTCTCAAGGGTCATCTGAGAGTCTCTGCCCTTGACGGAGGCATTTAACCCCCTTCTGCTTAACTAAGTTTGCGCCCCTGTATCTTGTGCTCTCGAGGTGCCCTATCTTCCTTCATTGCTTCCTGTCCGCTTCCAGGCAGAGGCTACCACGGGAATGTTACTGGACAGGTCCACATGGTCTTGGGTGGGCCCAGGGACTTCTCCAAGCCTCGGCTTCCTCAGCTGTGAAATGAAAGCCACCCCCACCTAACGGGGATGCGGGGTGAACGTGGTGACCTCTGCAGGGCCTAGCGTGTAGGCAAGACTCAGGAAGGAAAGCCTCGTCCGAGCAAGAAGGCGCTAAAGACAGAGGGGCGGGGCGGCAGCTTACGCTTGGCAAAGCGGTCCCCAGGGTAGATGTGGCGGTTGTAGACATCCATGATGTACACACGCTTGTCGCCCATGAAGTCCCGCTCGTGCCCGTTGCCCTGTGGGGAAGGAAGCCCCTCAGAGGCAGGCACAGAGGCGGGGACCCTCCCGCCCCATGTGCCCGGGGGCACGGCACGCTCTCTGGGGAGAGAGTCTCAGGGCTGCTCAGTGGCAGAGCTGGGATTCAACCGCAAGGCCTGGCCCTGCCTTCCAGCATGCCCTCGAGCAGCCCCAGCCTCAACGACGGCTCAGCGGCAGTGCGGATCCCCTCCCCGCCTGGCGAGAGGGCCGCCTCTGTCCAGGCCTTGTCGCTTCGCCCCGGGCGTGAGTCCTCGCTGGTGGCTTCGGCCCGAGCGACCCTGAAGCCGAGTGTGAGCACCTGCCCGGGAGCAGGGCCACACGCAGGGGAGCCATGGCAGGGCTCCCAGCAGGGGTGATGCTGCCCGCCGGGCGAGCGAGTGGCCAGGAGGGCGACGGGGGGACCAGCCAGCCTGGACGGAGGGGCCAGCCTGGGAGGCAGAGGGCAGGAGCCACGAGAGGCCAGAGGTCCGGCTGCGAGAAGGGGCACGGCCAGGGGCCAGGGGCCATTCCCCGCGGGAGGGGAGCCCCCAGGGGCCCTGAGGCAGGCAGAGGCTGCTGGGAACGTGGGAGGGGCTCGCCTGCCAGGGAGGCTCTGGAGCAGCACCCCCGGGGGCCAGCCCCGCAGGCACTCACCTGATGGGCATCGAGGTCGATGATGGTGGCCCTGGAGATGCCCTCCACACGCTCAAACAGGAACTGCCCAGGGGAGAAGCGAGACTTGAGGGCCAGACGGGCCAGGGGCCTAACCTCCAGGGACTCCCAGCTGGTGAGGGCCAGGGCAGGAGGGCACACATGCTTGTGGGCCATCAGGCCACGCGGCAAAGATGCCACTTGTCCAGGAGAGCTGTGGAGCTCCAGAGAAGCATGTGTGTGTGCAGGGGATGGTCAGGGAAGGCTCCCTGGAGGAGGGTCGTGTGCTGTGCCCTGAAGGCTCACAAGTTAGGAGGCAGGCAGGTCCGTCCGGTTTCCCCAGATTCCCCAGGTAATGCACGGGGGCTGCAGGGGAAACCCCCACAACCTGGATCTTCATTCCCCAATCTCAGCTTCAAGCTACAAGGCCATGTCCTGAAGGTCCTCCTCTTCCAGGAAGTCTTCGTTCCCTACCCCGCCCCTCCAGGAAGGTCTCCTGTGCTTCCCCACCCTCCTAGTGGCCAGCCTCCCCTAGCGTCTGTGTGCCCTGCGAATGAACGCAGAGACCCCACGGGCCTGTTCCCGACGCCCAGCAGCGGCCAGATGCAGAGTGGCTGGGGCAGCTGTGGGCTCCCACTGACTGTCTCAGTCTCCCTGTCGGAGGATCCGGGAGTGACTCAGGGACGCGGCCCGGGGCTGGGTGTGCGGAGCGCAGCGGCATCCTCCACCCCTCCTTCCCAGCTTTGAGCTGCTGCTCTCCCGCAGTCCGCCCCCATGGCCCTGGGCTCCGTGGGAGGCCATACTCGCGCCCTTCCACCCAGGCAGCCCTTCCAAGCCACACGGAAGGGGAAAAGGCGCCAGGCCTGGATCTGGCTCCCGCCCGGCTGCGCACACCAGGCAGCCCCTCCTCGCCCCAGGCCTCAGTTCTCCTGTGAGAACACCGCCAAGGCCCGCAGGCTCGCACACACCTTGATGGCCAGCGTGATGTCCGCGTAGGCGCAGAAGCCTCCGCCCCGGTCGCTAGAGCAGTGGTGGAAGCCGCCCCCTGCAGACGGGCAGATGGGGCGCTGGTCGGGCCAGGCCACAGCGCAGCCCAGGT